CAAAATGAAAACAGGGCTGTGAGAGCTGTGTTTTAATGTTGTGTGTCTGTGTGACAATCATTCAACTGATGAAACACTGAAAATAAGTTGTTGCACAATCAGTGGACCGGTCGACAAAGAACTCCAATTAAGCATGGGTTTGGAAAATTGAATGTGATCTAAAGGACATTAAAGACCCCATCAAATGTCTTAGGGACATTTCAAAGGGTTAAATAACCAGTAGCCTTTAGATTACATCATAACTACAACATTTCATTGGTCAAAGAGTTGTACATGCATGTTGAGCCATTAATTTTGTTAAGCCATTAATATATTTTCTGGAATGTGTGTATCTGCTAAAAGTTAATTTAGCCATCCCAAAGTAATTTCATTGGCAGATAGAACTTTTTTTTCTCCTACACCAGTGCATTGTGATGTATGTTGTTTTAACAATCAAATTGTCAATTAGTGTCTTTTAATATATTTAAATTTCTACTATATATTGTAATTTCTGTTTGCATACCGTTAACTGATTAGCCTTATAACTTGTACTCTATGCAGATTTATTACTTGTTATTTTAATTCTAGAGGACTTTTAGAGTATACCAGTATCTGCAGTATCGGTAGTAGCTACCTAATGCTGTACCAGTGCAATCAGACTGCTGATGTCGAAAGTGTGTGTGTGTATTTGTGAGCATGTGAATAGTGCTTGTGGTAATGCGGCTACGCATAAGCCCACAAATTCATTCTTGAATTCCCACTGGCGAGGTAATAAAGTAAACACAGTTGATTTGTGAACATAAAGATGCAGGATGAGTGCACCATATTGGACAATTTAAATGAAGGATGTTTTACTTTTTTGCTATAGTATTGTGAAATTTCACCGGTATTGGTACCTTTGACTTTAATATGTGCTCAATGTTAAAAATGCATGAGCAGTTTTCTGAGGTGGAGGGCGTGTGTGCCAGTGTGTCTGTGTGTGAGCCTCATACACGAATGAGTTATAATGATGGTGTGGAAAGCTGGGCTATATCCCATCTGGCCCGTGTGACTAACTCTGACGTAATCACTGCTGACACAGTCAGGCAGCATTCAGAAATGCATAAAACACACACAGAGTGAAAAATGGACCTCACTAACTCAGAAATATGTTGGAGCAAGTTGACGGAATTGATTGCTATAGCTCATCCATGCTGCTTTATTCTCTTCATATTTTTGTGTCATCTCTCAAAAGTGTTCCCTAAGTTTTTCTCTTTTAAATAAATATTTTGTGTGTGTGTGTGTGTGTGTAATGTTATAGACCACAGCCTGGAGCCCTGAAGTGTGCAGCTATGCTTTTTTAAGTGTGACTGTACTTTTTTTTCTGCTGTTTCTTTGTTTGATTCTTTTCTCATGTTTATTAGGGTCAGTCAGTCATGTGTAATCAGGATTATTGGATGGATCTGGTTGTTCTCTCAGATGAACTGTGATGTTTGTCTTCTGTTGTCATGACTGCATTCATGCTGTTTCTATTATTGATGCAGTTATAATTTAGCAATGAGGCAGATCAGACAGGATGACACAGCTGATTCAAATTATCACCACAGCTGTACTTTATTACAGAAAAATGGTAAATATGATTTAAAATGACATTCACACCACATTTAACTAGCATAAAGTGGTGTATTTTCAACTAAAGAACAGTTGTAAGGCATGACATGATTCTTTTGATTTGAATTAATGAAAATATTATCGAATATATATTAACTTGCACAACCCTCTTAATATCTATTGCCTGTTTTTGAGTTCCTGTGTCATGTGATTAAATGTTTTTTTTAGCTAATGTTTTTCCCAGCTTGGCTGCAACAGCTGACATGTTTAGCAGCAGAATGTCTTTCTTTTCCAATCTCACTTACATTCCCATATGATTAATTACAATGCCTCAAATCTGTGTTAAATAGAAATATTCAATAAACATTGTGTGAGCGAGTGATATTAACTGATAATTCTGTCTTTACAGTATGCACGGGTCTGGATCCCCGATGTAGAAGAAGTGTGGAAGTCAGCAGAGCTCACCAAGGACTACAGACAAGGAGATGGAGTACTGCAGCTACAACTGGAGGATGGAAAGGTCAGCGTGTGTGTAATAGAGTAATGAGTGTTTATAAGCCTCATCAGACTCTTTTCATTAGCATTGCTCACAGTACGATAGATTTACTGTTTTATTGGGATTGGTCCAAGGGATTTATCCTACAGCCTTTGTGTTAGCAGTCCAGATATAGACAATCATTTCAATATGTTACTGTAAATGCATTAATAGACCCCCCAGCAGTCAAGCATACGTAATTTGTAAATAAACCACATGGAATTATAACAAAAACATTAAAACGTTATATTTGTTAATATGAGACTGGTATAGAAAGATATTACAATAACTAACCAACCCTGGCAGTGCTGAGATATATCTAACCTTTTAACTTTCAGCCAGTGTTAAAGGGGTCATATGATGCTGCTAAAAAGAACATTATTTTGTGTATTTGGTGGCATGACGAAGCGGATATCGTCCTCTTTTGGAAGACCAAACAAAGTAGTTTCGCTTTCACACCGAAACACACAGCTTCTCCACGACATGGCGGCAGCTGCAACAATACTACAGTGAGAATAAAAGTTACGCCTTCTCTCTTTGCGTGAACATTTGGGCGGCGTTATGCAAATCTTCCCACATAGTGAGGTAGATATGTGGGGGCGTGTTAGAACGAGCCGTTTTATGTAGGTGTGGCTGACTCTTAACTTTTATAAAGAATATCTCTTTGGATTTGAGACTTTAGTCTTTGCAACTTTACAGATCTTCTTTATGCACCAAGAGCTTGTAACACTCCAAAGAGAAAGGAAAAATTGAATTCGCATCATATGACCCCTTTAATTTCGTTGACAAATAATTTTCGTCATAATTTTCGTCAATGACATTTTTTCACCAACGACAACGAGACAATAACGAACTAAAACTCTTTTTGAATGACAAAAACTATGACGTAAATCTGTTGACATTTTCGGCAACAAATAAAAACGTGACGAAAATGTTAGGGAGGGACGATTTGAGAAGAGATTCATTCAGAACGAATCTACTGCATAGTTAGGATGTTAGATGTGTACATTTGAACTGGCGGGACATAAGCTAACATAAAATGTCAATATGTGCGACTAAGAGAAGAGCAGACATATGGATAAATCTGACGATGCAAGAGAGAACTCAATTCGGTCCGGTTTTCTGAGCGCAGACAATGGCTACGTTTACATGCAACCAAATAATCCGTTTGTAATCGGATTGACGGCTCAATAGGACTGAAAAGCTTTCATGTAAACACCTTAATCGATCCGATTGAGCTCGATCGGAATTAAATTTCAATCGGATTGAAGGGGGTGGTTTATTCCTTTTCTAATACGATTGAGAGTGCATGTAAACACTCGATCGGATTCAACCCCGAAACTGAAAGGTCTGTGCATGTACAATGACGCAGAAATAGCATAATGACGTATGACGCGCGGAAACGAGCGGTTCTTCCTTTTGAATAAAGTGTTGTATAAATGCGTGTCCTGTCATTATAAAACTCTCCTTTCACTTGGCAACTGTGAAGTGGAGCAGGACAACCTCCCACCAGTCCTTGTTTTGGATTCTCATCCACAGGCAACCCGTTTTCGGCGCGGGGTGGGGCATTTTTACTGCGTGATAAATATGAGCAGCACGGCACAGCGGTTTATATGTATATTTATCGCATGTAAAAAAAAAATCAAATCCGAATTGAAGCTTGTGACATAAACGTGCACATCAACCCGATCACTTTCTTTAGCATTCATGTAAACACTACATTCAGATTCATCAATCGGAATGAATTCAGTCCGATTGAACCAAAAATTGTGCATGTAAACGTAGCCACTGAAGCATACACACACACAGAAAGCGTGTCTCACAGCGCGAGGGTACTCTTTCGCGTCGCATGAACGGAGAATTACACGTCTGCTTGAAAGAATGAAGAATATGGTAAACAAGTTGCTATAAAGAATGCATAATTAGCCTATATAACCATTGATATTTCATTAAAAAGAAGACCATGTTCTTGTTCTTTATGAGAAGTGGTTTTATGTAATTTTAACATAAAGGCATGTGTGTCACCGCAGTTAAATTGGTCTAATAAGTCTGTCATGATAAAACCTTAATATCAAACCTATATAATGAGTTTGGAAATTGTAGAGAAATGCTTAATAAATGCATTACACTGTAACTAAACCCATTTTTACTGTAGATTTAGTCAACTAAAATTGTATGATATTTAGTCGATTAAAACTAAAAAGATGACTAAAATATGACTAAAACTAAATGGCATTTTAGTCAAAAGACTATGACTAAAACTAAATCAAAATTTGCTGTCAAAATTAACACTGCTTTCAGCTCAATTATAATGTAAAAAATCAAACTAGTTAATTTGGCTTTAAATCAAAGTTCAGATTGTACCAGAAAGGGGTATAGAACACACCTGACGTTATGTGATCTGTAAAGCACTGTTTACATGAAACCTACAGCGAATACTGTATGTCAGTAATAATGCAAAAATTCCCCTACATTGGATAAGTAGTTCCACTTCATAAATGTACAGCTATCCGATGAATGAATGAAAGAACTTCATGCATAATTATTGGGTAAGTCAATATTCTGATCATAGCTTAATAAATGCATTACACTGTAACTAAACCCATTTTTACTGTAGATTTAGTCAACTAAAATTGTATGATATTTAGTCGATTAAAACTAAAAAGATGACTAAAATATGACTAAAACTAAATGGCATTTTAGTCAAAAGACTATGACTAAAACTAAATCAAAATTTGCTGTCAAAATTAACACTGCTTTCAGCTCAATTATAATGTAAAAAATCAAACTAGTTAATTTGGCTTTAAATCAAAGTTCAGATTGTACCAGAAAGGGGTATAGAACACACCTGACGTTATGTGATCTGTAAAGCACTGTTTACATGAAATTGCTATAAACCCATATGAGACGCTGCCCATCTATGGAACTGACATTATTAACGCATACAGCGGGCAGAATATGGGTGACATGGACCCTCACATCTTCGCAGTGGCAGAAGAGGCTTACAAACAGATGGCCAGGTAGGGTTGATCAAGTTGAAGTTGGTTAAATGAATAAGATGTTAAGATAAATATGTTAGATTTAGTTTGAAATGACATCACACTTGTACGTTGTTCGATTTGGTTTCAAGTATGTTGGGGTCTTAGTAACGCATTACCTTCAAGTAATGCACAGATGTTTGAAGGTCAGTCTATTGCCCCCTTCAGTGCTGTGGCTTGTTACTGCCGTAGAAATGCAAAAGCATGTTAAAGCAATAGTTCACCCAAAATGAAACTGTCATCATTTACTCACTGTTAAGTTCCAAATCAGCGTGATTTTCTCTGTGCTTTGGAAAACAAAAGATGATACTGTATTTTGAAGAATTTTGGGGTCCAAACAACAGTAGGCCTCAGAAATGTCATATGGGTTTGGAATGACATGAGAGTGGTTAAATTAGTCGTTTTCAATTTTGGGTGAACTACCTCTTTAGGTACAGTTACAGTGCTTAACAAATTTATTAGACCACCACCACCCCCCAATGTAAGATTTGTGCCACAGCTGCCCTAAACTAACAGTATTGGTGATTACCAAAATCATTTTTTTATGTTTCTGTAATGGTTAATCCACCAGTATGTGTAAGCTCTTTAGTCACAGTAGTATTTGTAATGCTAAAATATAATTATTCGTGTTATCTATGCATTTTCAAATTGACTGTTTTACAAGAAAGGCAGAAAAAAATGGTAAAGCACTTTATTATTATTTTTTTATTTATATGCCCAATTACAGTCAATAACAACAGATACTGTGGAAAAGTACATAAAAACAGTGCCAGCAAGAATGTTATCAAGGGCAAAGGAGGCCATACACAATATTATGTGTTTTGGTTATTATGCATGAATAAAGACTATTTACAGTAGTTGTTTCAGTTTGTTATTTGCCTAATAAATAACATTGTTAGTTTTAAACAAGTTTTTGACATATTCCTAAAATATTTGTTTTCTCTTTATTATGACAAGTGATCTAATAAATATACAGTGCTTGACAAATTTATTTGACTGTAATCTGAATTAAAAAAAAAAAAAATAAAGTACTTTACTATTTTTCTGCCTTTCTTGTAAAGCTATAAATTTGAAAATTCATGGATCACAACAACAATTATATTTTAGCATTACAAATACTACTGTGACTAAAGAGCTTACACATACTGGTGGATTACCCATTACAGAAACAAAAAAAAATGATTTTGATAATCACCAATACTGTTAGTTTAGGGGCAGCTGTGGTACAAACCTTACATTGGGTGGTGGTGGTCTAATAAATTTGTTAAGCACTGTATGTACAGTGGAACTGAGCTTGCATTGCATTAGCCAAAGCATTCACGTTTGCACAGAGTATGTCTCTGGTTTTACTGTCAGCTGGTAAGTGTGTGAGTATGAGCTATACTGCTCAATCGAAAGAGAAGGTTTGTAGGTCAGGATGTTGCTCACTGCAGCTCAGCCATAAATAGACCAACCACGGTAATATTTCTCTCGCTCATTTTCTTGGATCACTCAGTTCTTTTCAATGCAGCTGCAATGGTTTACACAACTGGACCTGTCTGTCTGAAATTTTCATTGATCAATGGATGCCTGTATTGCAGCAAATGCTGCAGTTTTGGTGAAACATCATTTCCTCAAAGCCTTGTGTTTTTCCTCTACAGTCCTTGCTGTACACCTCCAGAACACCTTAGTAACCACCTAACAACTACCCAGAACACCCTAGGAACCACCCACAACACCTAGAAACTCCCTAACAACCATTCAGAAACCCTAGTAACCCCCAGCAGTGCCCTAGCATTGCATAGAAACATCTTAAAAGCAATAAAAGTTTTAAATGGGCAAACACCACTCACATTTTCTTAAAAAAATAAAAAGTAGAACTTTTTTTTTTCCCCTTGCATTTATCTTGAATTTTTTTCACATCATTCAGGGATGAGAGGAATCAGTCCATCATTGTGAGTGGAGAATCTGGAGCAGGGAAAACTGTTTCAGCCAAATATGCCATGCGCTTCTTTGCCACAGTCAGCGGCTCTGCCAGTGAAGCAAATGTGGAAGAAAAAGTTCTGGCATCCAACCCTATCATGGAGGTGAGCTTTTCCTGCATTATTAGATCAGTGTGTCATTCTGGACTCAGTACTGAGACTTGGGCTGTTTGTTTTCATGAAGGTCTTTAATAATACAGACATTCATATCTCAGAAAGCCAAACCCCTTGGGCTGAGACTAAAAGCTCACTGGCTAAACAGTCTTATTCAGAGCGTTATATCTGCCCTTCACTGCATGGTCTTCATCTCCCCAGGGCTCATTTCCCTCGGAACAGCACCACAGAGAGTGTGTATGTGTGTGTTTGAGTGCTCGCATGTGTATTAATGTAAGTTTAGTGTTACCATGAAAGCTCATATGACAAATGGGCTAAAGGCACACTTAAAAAAAAAAAAAGGTTTTCACTACATCCATGATATATGATTGCTGAAAAAATGTGTATCCTCTAATTGAGCATTGATGGAGTAACACATTTTGTGGTAAAATAAATCATAAAAGTGGTTTATTTTTTTTTTTACAAATCATATAAATGTATGAGGTAGCAAAGTTGGCCTTTTCACACTCGGCATGAAGCTAAGGCCCCCTGTATTGATTGAGTATTGAATACTTTAGCTAAAATAATATATATATATATATATCTCATAATATCAAAACAATCACTTCAGCAAATTTTGTACCTTATTGTGCTTAATATGATTTATTTAAATATGATGGTTTCATTATAGATAAATGATTGAGACCTTTGTACATCTGGTTATTTTAAGAGTTATTATTGGCTACTTAAATCTGTAACATTTAACAAAAAACAAAACAAAAAAACCCATTAAATATTAGATCAAATTTGCAGTTCTTTGCTGTCTCCAGTCACATCAAGGATCAGTCAAATTTTCATGTGTGAAATGCTTTCATGTTTAGGAAAGTGCTGTGGTAGATTTTAAGAAAATAAAACCAAATGCACTTTTATACTGTTGTTCAGAGCTTAATAACGCAATCTGAAAGAGACCTGTTGAGGGTAAAATTAGGCTCTAGTCCATACCTACAGTAGGTACAAACAGGTGAAACCCAATGTGAAAACCACCTTAAAAAACACACATGATCTGAGCTTGTTTAGACAGGTTTAATGAATTCGTGCCTTATAAGGATGATGTTCATTCAGAAGCTCGTTGCTTGCTGATTCTGATAGTGTTACTCAGCAGGTTTCTGCTCTGTGGGGGAGACAGTATCAACTTCCTGACCTGCTGTAGAGACCCAGAGATGCAACACTGTGTGTCGTCTCCCACACACATGATCTTCCTGTCCCTGTGTTTTTTAAATCAATAACCTATCTGTATACTCCTTAAACTTTTAACCCTGTCCTCTTCTAACTAAAACAATAAAGAAACCCATAGGTCAGTCCAGAACGTTCACTCAAGCTGATGTCTTTCTCCTCTCATTTCTAGTCCATCGGTAACGCCAAGACCACCAGGAATGACAATAGCAGTCGATTTGGGAAATACATTGAGATAGGCTTTGATAAGAAGTATCACATTATCGGTGCGAACATGAGGACATATCTCTTGGAGAAATCACGTGTTGTATTTCAGGTAAGGAACAAGCATGCATGACATATCAAGCCCATTTTCCACTCTCTCTCTGGCATTTAAAATTAAACCAGCTGTTTGCTACTGTACCTTTAAAACTTGACTTATGTCAGGATTGCCTACCCTTTTTGATGAAATTAGTAATTGTGCTTTTGGCATAAAATACTATTGAGATATAAATTTGGGTGGTCATATGTTAATGTATTGTGGTTGTGGTGCCATACCAATTTCTCAGTCACTTTTGTAGTTTTCATTTTTATTTTGAATAGACTGAATTTGAATGAATGGTAGAGTATATCGACTAGTGGTTCAACGGATCACAAATCTCACGGTTCGGATCACATTACGGTTTTTGACCCACGGATCAGATCAGCAAGAAAAGAAAAATATTTCAATTTAACGTGCTTTCCATTTATTACTTAAAGCAAAGTACTTCTTTGATACCACAGCAAATACTACTAGATTAACTAAGAAAGTTTAAACATGATTAAAGAGAACAGCCAGTAAAAATAAGAACAAATACACAAATTACAAGCATAGATAAATACAACAGAATATGTTACAAATAAAATAAGATTGGTAGTATTCAAATACAGAAATGTAATAATTAGGGAAAATAACACTGCATAGTGTTCACTGTATAAATTAAATATAGATTTTTATCACAGCTGTTTTGTTGTTTGATGATCATTAATGTCAGCAGCAGTATTTATAGGCCACTGTCCCTTTAACAGCGCGCGAGTAACGAATCGAGTTCCCTTTCGCCTTTTCTCTCTGGAATTGTTTAAAATTCGCTTGCTTGTGTAAATACGAACAAATAATAAACTTATACTCTATTGTGGTTACATTTTGCAATTAATCCGCGGGTCACATGTGTGCCGAACCGTGGGGCTTGGTCCGTATGGATCACGGATCAACTACGATCCGTTTAACCACTAATATCGACATAGTGTATCAAACTCTTTTTCATTTCAAAAGAGCAAAGCAAATCCATTTAACAAAGACACATACATGAATGTTTAAAAATCAGTCCAGAAAATGGTAGTGGGAAGACCATGGAAATCTATGTCTTTCAGATGGAAATGTTCTCTCTTTGCCCTCATATGTGACTTTCCATGCCGTTTTTTTCTTTTCCTCTGGAATATTGAATGAATGTGTGGTTTCTTCTGTTAAGTCTTAAACTAAAAGCCTGCTGTGTTTCAGAATTACCACCAGATATTATAAAAAACTAGTGATCCAGAGATTAAGTCTATGTGCACTTTTGAAGCTTTCTAATGGTTTTTAATGTTCAAAAAGGTTTTGTATCCAAAACACATTGGACTAGAAACATGGCTTTATATATATAATGAAAAAATCAGCTTTTCTGAGGTAAATGTAAAATTATGTCACATTGTTTACAAACCGTTTTATTGACGTCCTGATTTAATCTTTCTAAAGCTTCCCAGAAGGAGAAAAACCCTCTGAATTCCAGCCGTTTGTCACACCATGGGCCAAATGAGCTGATCAGTTTAGGGGCCAATAATAGAGGTGCAACCCTGGCTAACAATCTTAAACTATATCTTTCAGATTTTGGCAAGCGAAGGCCAAAAACTGTGTCAGTGTCTAAAATGGTTTCATGGTTGAAACACTGATTGATCGATTATAAGACATGGTACATTTCATTAAGTTGTACCATATCTTTCCACCTTCTGATGTTCATTCATGTTTATTTTGTGCTATAACTAGTAGTAAAACGGAAGAGATGAATGGTGTGCTGCCGCTTGAACTGAGGTGGCTACAGTGATCTGTCTGTTGTATTTATTGTTTGAAGGTGTTTATTGCTTGAGTTTTGTTATGAAATTGACAGTTTGAAAGCTGAGAGTTTGTTTCATATCAAAAGTAACAAAGAACAAAGCTTATTGAAATTTATTAGCTGGAAGTCATGATCAATATCAGTTTATCAAAATCAGAATTGATTAAAATTGAAAAACCAATACTGCAATATGAATTCGGACTAGAAATTGAAACTGCTTTGAGGAATGGCATAGGACAGTGTACACATACAGGAGCAGCCAGCTGCCGCACCCTCTGAAGCACACCACACTTCCTGCTTGAGTCAGCTCTAATTTTAGCTCCTCTCAGATACCTCAGGGATTTAATTCACAGGGCTATTTTCATTCCTTGAAGGCTCCTGTGTCCTTCTACACTTCCAAGACTCCACGGTGAGCTATCAACTAATATTATTCTGCCTTCTTGGATAGTACCTTTTTTTTTTTGTGGTATCCAATTCCTTCACAGAGAAGACACTTCCAGAATGCAATGTGATAAGTTCAGAAATAAGCTCAAAGATTCTGGATGAAGCTAGAAAAAAATGTTGATTAAAAATATATCTCATCCAATGCTGAAAAATATCAAGTTAAATCAATTTTAAATGAATGAAAATCAAGTGAATGAAAATCAAGTGAATGAAAATCAAGTTTTAATTACAGCCACTATCTAAATGTTTATATTTCAACAATGAATTAATATATCATTAATAATCGTTGATATAAAAATGAACTAATGTGCATTTTTTTATATATATATAAAACAGTTTTTTCAGTGTTGATTATTAAATACATTTGATTAATTAATTGTTTACTGAATACATTTTATTTTAACTTTATTTTCCTGCTAAATAAAAACTTTAATTTATGTTTTGGTGTTACGTTCAATGTTTTCGGTGCATCACTATCAAATAGTGCACTATATAAGGGTATAGGGAGCAATTTTAGACACTGACACAGTTTTAGGCCCTTCGCTTGCCAAAATCTGAAAGATATAGTTTAAGACTGTTAGCCAGGATTGCACCTATTATTGGCCCCTAAACTGATCAGCCCTACATAAACTATCTCATTTGGCCCATGGTGTGAGAAACGGCAGGAATTCAGAGGGTTTTTCTCATTCTGGGAAGCTTTAGAAAGATTAAAACAGGACAGGAATGAAGATAATGGAGTTAAACATGTCTGTTCAGTGTTATGTAACATACTCTTACAGACTACTGTTGTGCTTAGGTGAATTCCAGATGAGTTAAGTGTGTGTGTGAGATTGTGTAAGATGCAGAATTTGACTAGAAATATACTTTATGCAAGTATGTAAATGCAGACTTTAATGCTGTTTTGCAAGCTTGTTGTACAGTACATACTTAGAATGCATTACTCTGACAGTAACGTGTTTCACCACTTTTGAGTGTGGTGTTTCATCACAAAAACCTACATCTTATTCACTAATCACCTACAAGCTGCACTGGTATGTGCCTTCTCTTTAGTGTGAATGCTCGTTTCTATATAAATTAGGTTTATTTTAGATGTATTATGCACAGAAGTCAGTGCTATTTGTCTGGCACCGGTAATGTTGTCTTATTATTAAAAAATAAATATTTGTGTACAGTTTGCTTTTACGCATCAAATGATAATCTTTTAAAAACAAAATTACACTGACAGAGGGTACAATTCATTCTTAATGAATTCACCTCTTTTATTCTCCTCCTAAAGTTTTGATACATTTTTATGGTCTAGTTTGGTGGGACAAAGAGGCAGAGTGCATTTAATAGAGTTATGGATTTATATGTTTTATGGAAAATGTCTTTATGGGTTCTGAGGCTGGATTCATGAAATGAATTAGGTAAATTCTAAGTAGTATGTAAGAACGTTCCTACAGTAACCACAGTTCTTGGAAAAAATCTCAAAGTTCTATATTTTTTTTTCCTTAAGAAAATTTTTTAAAAACTGGTGTTATCTGGTTTTATTACATGGCAGTATTTGATGAAGACTTGCTTATCAACTCAAAGATAATTGAGGTACCCATTTGAGTAATTTTCTATTTGTAAAAATTCAGGGAAAAATTACATTACACATAATCATTACATAATCATTGTTTTCATTATTGATTGGTCACTTCAGAGTAATCAGGGACATCCCCAGTAAAAGTAATGTGTGTTACATGCAGCTAAAGTTACTGTATATTGTAATGCTTAAGATTTTAAACAAACCAATACATTAATTAAACATCTTACCTTTGCGTATTTAAGTTAGAGGTATCCTAACTTTAAGAGGTTATTTATTAAGTTTTTTAAAGAGGTTATTTATTCTTTTAATTCCTGAAAGGTTTTTAGAGCTTTAGAACAATTAATAAAAAATTACATCTTAATTAAATTAATTAATCTTAATAAAAAATGGAAATACTGGGGATGGGGAATACAGACATGGGAATTTCTGTCCAGTCCAAATTCCTTCCATCCAAATTATGTCCAGTTATCATATATAACTCAAAGTAGAATACGATTGTGTTGGATGGTTGGACTGGGATGGATATTTAGTACACCTGGTACTTTTTTTAAATGATCTTATGTGCTATTTTTGTTTTTCTTGCATCCTTTGTTTTTCAGGCGGATGAAGAGAGGAATTATCATATCTTCTATCAGCTCTGCGCATCTGCTCACCTCCCGGAGTTCAAAGCCCTGAAACTTGGTGAGCCAGACACGCAATGCAGTTTTAACAAAAGTATATAGGAAAAATTGCATGTTTAAAGGTTAGTAATATAGTAATTATAATTAGTTTTATATTAAAAAATAATTGAGAATAAAGTCTATGGCATGTCCCCATTTAAATACAATAGCTAACTAAACCTTAGGGCCCTATGATTTCTATATGCAGAGAAAGCTGATGGATCACAGAATCCAGTCATAAAAATATAATTAAAAGTAAATTGCAGAATGTCACAGAATTGGGCAAATATTGGATGAATAAATCAAAAGTATGGTTCTACAATTTAAATAATTCAATCGTATTTAAATATCTTCTTATTAAATACACACATAAATTAAAAGGTCATGACAGCCCATCAAAATAAAAGTTTGGTTTAACTTTGAAAAAGAAAAGAAATTGTGAAGGAAATACTATAATATTTATATTATTAATAATAATATTAATTATTAATAAATATTACTAATGATTATAATATAATAATTGTCAGGATTCTGGACTGTCTGTGTTGTGTTTTTGCTCCCCATGTGCTCTGCTACCTAGTTTTCCCGTGTGTTTGATTGTTCATTGTTTCCAGGTGTGTCTCCTTATTAGTTTATCCTCCTCACCTGTCTGCCCCTCGTTATCTGCCCCATTTAAGTTCTAGCCTGTGCTATTCTCCCTTGTCTAGTATTGATTGTTCATCTTGTGCTACATGTGTTCCTGTCTGCCCTGTATACACCGTGTTGGAAGGATTAAAGACTGTTTACTGCGAATTCTCCTGTCTCCTCGCTCCTCAGTGTAGTACAACTCGTCACCCATCGATCCATCAGCTCCACCGGGCTCCCTCGTCCCTCCGGCTCCGCCTTGGTCGGGCGTCGACCCGCCATCGCCTCAGGACTCCGCTCCTCCAGCTGCACCTCGTTGCTCAGTCCCACCGGCTCTATTGGGCTCCTCAGTCGCTCCAGCTGGTCAGGATTCTGGACTGTCTTGTGTTGTGCTTTTGCTCCCCATGTGCTCTGCTACCTAGAAGAACCGACCGAAACCGTTACTTTCGTGTCTGCCCTCGGTTTTTTATTTTTATTTTTACCCACTGTTTTTTGTTTCCGTTGTGCCCTTATGGATCCTCTCACCCGCCCTGAATACATCCTCCTCCTGCTGGAGCAGGGGGAAAGATCACTCAAGGGTCATACCAGACTGTTTTTGGCGATTGCCCATCTCACCACCTAACCGGACGACGCGCTCTGCCCGTTCTATGATGTCAGCCTCAACCCCGCGTGCAGAGCGCCGTCGTCCGAAGATGGCCTCTGCCTGCTCCGCCATGGCCTCCGAGTCTGCCTGCTCCACCATGGCCTCCGAGTCTGCCTGCTCCGCCATGGCCTCCGAGTCTGCCAGATCCGCCATGGCGCCCCGAACTGCCAGATCCGCCATGGTGCCCGGATCTGGGCCCGCCTTGGGGCATCCCGTCCCGTCCAAGCCTGTCCTGAGGGATCTCCAAGGCACCCACCCTCCCACCCCTTTAATGTTGTATGGCACGAGGACGCGCCTTCCGGAGGGGGGTGTCATGTCAGGCCTGTGTTCCTGTCTCTTGTGTTTTGTTCCCCAAGTTCTAGTTTTCCCTCGTGTTTCCTTATGCCCATATTTGGTTTGGTTTCCTGTTCTCGTTGTCTCATTATTAGTTGATTCCTCGCACCTGTCTGTCCCTCGTTATGTTTAGTATAAATGTGTAGTCTGCCTCATGTTTTCTTGTCAAGTCTTAAACGTCATTCCATGTGTGTCTCCTATGTTAGTGTTCCTTGTCATTTGGTTTGTTTATTAAAAGTCAAGTTTTGAACGTCATCTCCTCGTCTTCTTGTTCCCCTCCTACGCACCGTGACAATAATAATGCAATTATTAAAAATGTATTATTTTTTAAAGTGTGCAGCACTTTGTTTGTCATAAAAAAATAAAAGGAATAGTTAATTGTGACCCTGGTCCACAAAACCAGTCTTAAGTCGCTGTATCTCAGCCAAATATTGTCCAATCCTAACAAACCATACAATGGAAATCTTATTTATTCAGCTTTCATATGATGTATAAATCTCAATTTCGAAAAATTGACACTTAAGACTGGTCCAGGGTCACAATTATCATTTGCTTACATATTAAATTGTGTATGTTTTATGCGTTATTTGATTGCCACCATTTTTTACCATTAAATCATAAATCCAGAAAAAATTAAAACAATCTATGAAAAAATTAAATAAAACATAGGGGCCTATCCAATTGTTCAATTTATTAGACATTCTTTTTCTGATATTAAAATTTAATTAAACTGTTAAAACAGAACAATTTGGAAATTGGGAAAAATTAAACCGAATTGGAGAGAAAATTAAAAAATTTCAAAGGGCTCTAAAAATTACAATTTTGTTTAATATACAATGAATAGTTGTTAAATAGTATAGGTTTCGTTAATTAGACATGGTATTTGATTACCAAAATTTTGTTTAATAGAATCCAGAAAAAAAAAAAAAAAAAAAACAGAATAAAAAAAAAAGTAAAAGATTTTCATAGGGCACTAGTGAACTTGTGTGTTTGAGGGTAACGTGTCTGATTAGAGTGTGTTCGTGTAGGCGCAGCATGGAGAGAGTATATCAAAGCTGTCCTACTGAGAGGCGGGCTGTGCAGGTCTAAATACACACACATGCTATGCAAACACACACACGCAACCCCATATGAATACTGTAGCTACTGTGGTTCAGTTTCACACACACCTCTTCTTATCATCTCTTCTCTGTTCGCTTTACCCACTTGCTCTGAAACACACACACACACACACACACACTGCTGGCTCTGTGCTCTCTCCTTCTGTTTGCCTACTCAGCTGACTTCCTGCTCAGCTGACGCCCCGTTAATGTGAGGGTTTATGTGTGAGTGTGTATCTCAGTAAGGTCTCTGTTGCCAAGCAACAGTGTATCATTCGTTTAATCTGTGAACAGGGCTTTGTATTTTAGGGTTTGTCTGTGAATAAGATGTTTTTATTAATGCAGATCTGTGTAGTACTAATGACTAAGGCTGCATTTACACTGCAGATCTGTATGCTCAAATATGATATTTTGACTATATCCGATTTTTTTGACGACCCGCTTACACCTTCTTTTAAAAGTGACCTGTATCCGATATTAGGGTTTGTCTGTGAATAAGATGTTTTTATTAATGCAGATCTGTGTAGTACTAATGACTAAGGCTGCATTTACACTGCAGATCTGTATGCTCAAATATGATATTTTGACTATATCCGATTTTTTTGACGACCCGCTTACACCTTCTTTTAAAAGTGACCTGTATCCGATATCTGCATTTAAACTACACAGGCTTAACTTGACGTGGCTCAATGCATTAGACAGTGATATTAAAAGACCAAACTCTGCACACACTAGTATTAAAGCATATCCTTCTTTGTATAGAAAGTCAGATGAGTCCAGAATATGAATGCCAAAGTTTAGCTTATTGACGGAACTCATAGAAACATTTTTAATGCGATAGGCTAGTTTCATCCTTACATCAAAATCATTAATTAGTACAGATTCTTCACGAAAGTGATTACTGTATATACACAGATCCGCTGTACACATCCGCGGGTACTAATGGTCTAGCAGTAGAACTTGTGCTAAGTTAGCGGGTCTGGGTTCTGATCCGCTCTCATATAGTTCTTTCCTCATTAAAACCAATGATGTTGTGATTGTGATTTCATGTGAATGAATAGAGACCCTCTACAACCGTTAGCAACAGACTGAAGCGCTCGTCTGTGCACGTGCCGCCGTCACTTATAACAGCGGCAACGAGCAATCAGCATGATTTTAAAAGCAACACATTTTAAGCACCAGATCGCCTCTTATTCAACACAAACAAACAAAATTAATACTCTGCTAGTCAACAAGAGATGTTTCATTTGTAATAGATATATCTGTACTGCAAGATGTTTCAAAAACATTCGACATCCAACTCGCATTAACAAGGGAATATCCGATCTGTCTGCTGACATGGCAGCTGCACCTATCTGATTCATATCAGATTTATTTCCACATATGAATGAGGCCTAAAACCGATCTGAGAATATCGGAATCCATGTGCTTTTTTCCTGCTTACACGTTCGTGGGCCATATCCGATATGTGTCACATTGGGGTAAAAACATCGGAATTGGGTCACTTGAACCATGCAGTGTAAATGCGGCCTAATTTCTTGTTCATTAAAGGGATAGTTCACCCAAAAATGAAAATTCTGTCATTAATTACTCACCCTCATGTCATTCCAAACCCGTAAGACCTTCGTTCATCTTTGGAACACAAATTAATATATTTTTGATGAAATCCGAGAGCTTTCTGATCCAGGCCCAGAAAGGTAGTAAGGATAATGTTAAAAAAGTCCATGTGACATCAGTGGTTCAACTTTAATTTTATGAAGCTACGAGAATAATTTTTTATGCAAAGAAAACAAAAATAGCGACTTTATTCAACAATTTCTTCGATGCGCATATACAAGAGTACCACGATGCATACGTGTGCATTCCTCTGCTTGTAAACAAGGTGCAGCGCATCCAGGTTCTGCGTCAGAATGCCAACTCCTGCGTCAGCAGCACCACACGCATGCGTCCTGGTACTCAAGAATATCGGTACAGACTGGCACGGAAGAGAAGAATTGTTGAATAAAGTCGTTATTTTTGTTTTCTTTGCGGGAAAAAAGTATTTTCGTAGCTTCATAAAATGAAGGTTGAACCACCGATGTCACGTGGACTATTTTAATGATGTCCTTACTACCTTTATGGGCCTTGAACGTGGTAGTTGTGTTGCTGTCATTGCAGGGTCATAAAGCTCTTGGATTTCATCAAAAATATCTTAATTTGTGTTCCGAAGATGAACGTAATCTTACGTTTGGAACGACATTACTCGGTGAGTAATTAATGACAGAATTTTTATTTTTGGGTGAACTATCCCTTTAATGGTTGGGGAGTTTCTTGCACAATTATAGCTTTATTGATGAACATATTATTTCCTTGGAATAGATCCTTCAGAAGGTCGTATTTGTGTGGTGTAATTAATTTGTGTGTGTGTTTCCCCACAGGAAAGGCTGATGATTTTCACTATACCAAACAGGGTAGGAACCCAGTGATAGATGGAACAGATGATGCCAAGGAGATGTCGACCACCAGAAACGCCTTCACACTGCTAGGTCAGACTTAAAGTTCAACGATTTCTTATGTAGTTGAACGTTTAATGCTCAAAATAACCAGCTCAGATGAGATAGAGATTAAACTACAGTATCTAATATCAGACTTGGATTCATTTCTAGTCAAAACTGTCTAAAATGAGTTTATTTTCATTTTAAATGTATTTTTATTATCTGCACATGGATTTTGAATAAAATTTACAAAAGACATATATATTACACTTGATAATCAAGTTCCAAGATTACTGTAGGGGGAAAAAATGCAAAACTAAGAAGTTTTGGCATGTGGGTGGTTGGAGGAATCAAAACAAAATTTTGCAAGACATTTTACAAAACAACACAACGCCTTTTGCGAAAATGACGTGCTAGGGAATTTGTGTGGCAAAATGCCCTTCCAAATGCAGAAATAAGGTGCAGTTTTAACCTTGCATTGTCCAGTGCTGATGGTTTAAATTCACATGTTTCTATAAGCTACAAAATGTATGGCAGACTGAATCGATGCAGGACTCATAGGCCTAAAATTCTTAATATTCTGGAATAGCGACAGTAAATATAAATTAATAATGTATGTTCTTGCTTCAGTTCATGTTTCAAAAGTATATAATTGGGTCGGAAGACATTGTAGTAATTATTACAGTGAAAACGTAAGTAAAGTTTTATTCTAAACAATAACAAATAGTTATTTTTATTTGGGGTTGGGTTTATCCCATGAAAAACAAACAGTGTTACTACTAGACTGTCATGATTCAGAGTCTCAGGAAGAAGTGCTAGAACTGTCACTGGTGCCCCCTCACAAAAACTAGGTGCATGACGCCCCTAATCACGTATTGGACAGTCCACAATGCACTGCGACGCAAACATGTTGATTATAAACAAACACAAATTGAACTGATTTCTTGGTTTTTCATATTGTTAATTTGTTGCTGTCTCTTTTCAGGTGTAAATGAGTCCTATCAGTTGGGTTTGTTTCAGATTCTGGCTTCAATTTTGCACCTGGGGAACATTGAAGTGAAGGATAGAGATTCGGACAGCAGTATTATTCCAGTGAGTTTCATGTTGACTTTAAAGTTCAAGTATGTGGATTGGCATTTTGGCTGATATCTACTGTGGGCGAATCTGTTGTTACATGGTAAAAATATAAACCAAATAACTGAATAACTGAATAAATGTCTTGAAGTGCAATGTCACTGTATGCATTTTATGACAAAAACTAGTAAAAAAAAATGTTGTTCTAATCAAATTTATTTGTATAGCACTTTTTACAATACACATTGTTACAAAGCAGCTTTACAGAAAATCATGATGTTAATGTTTATAAGACCTCAATATCTTCATGAGTTGTAGTCTCATTTAGCAGATTAGAGCTGGGCAATAAAATAATTTACATATTTCGATGATACAAGCAGTTGTGATATGCTATTTAGTATATATCACCCTCTGCGAGTATAATATACTGTATGTAGGCTGATAAAGTTGGACATATTTATCGGTAGCACTTTATTTTACAGTCCACGTGTACATACTATACGTGTTATAGTGATGACAATAAGATTCAAGACTGGGTAATTACTAGGTAATAACTAGGTACTAATCTTGAACCTAAACCTAACCTTAACCCATGTAGTTACTTTATATTACCATTACTTTCTTAGATAAGTACATTGTAAGTACACGTAAGTGCACATACTGTAAAATAAAGTGCAACCTATTTATCTATCTATCTTTTATATAAAGAGCTGGGCAATAGCATAGCCATATTTTGCAAATGCAAAAAAAAAACCCAAGCAGACTTGCTGTATAGTATATATTGCTTTATGTGAGTGTTTTGTATGTAACGTTATGCAGATGAAATTGGTTAGTGTATAATGCATATCCAACTTTAAATAGAGCTGTGCGATAATACAGTTTACATTTTTGTGACAACATTGTGGTTTATTTCAAACTTTAATTTAAGTTTTACAATTAATTACATTTTTACACATACAGGATAATTTTTACCCAAATAGCCCAGAGCCTCCAATTTTAACTGTAAGAAAATGTTTCATTGTGTAGTAATGATGTAATTCTCTCTCTCTTTTCCCTCCAGCCGAATAATGGTCATCTGAGTGTGTTTTGTGAATTGATGGGTGTGACATATCAAGACATGTCTCATTGGCTGTGTCATAAGAAGCTGAAGACGGCAACTGAGACGTACATAAAGCCCATCCCCAAACTACAGGCCATAAACGCCCGCGATGCTCTCGCCAAACATATCTACGCCAAACTCTTCAACTGGATCGTGGACCATGTGAACAAAGCGCTGCATTCTACGGTCAAACAGCACTCGTTCATTGGAGTCCTAGACATTTACGGGTGTGTTCATATGCACAGATACACACCTTTGAGAACAGACTACATTTCCTCTGAAAGATCTTAGTTTAGATTTACAGAAGTGAATTGTGATGTTTTGTTTTATTATTCCAGGTTTGAGACTTTTGAAATCAACAGTTTTGAACAGTTCTGTATTAATTATGCCAATGAGAAACTACAGCAACAGTTCAACATGGTGAGACCATCTGACCCACTCCACATGACACCAGATCTCATTAGTTCATGTTTGATTGTTGATAATTATGAATTCTGGTAGTAAATTGTGATGTCTCCTCTTCTGTCCCGTCGTGTGCAGCATGTGTTTAAGTTGGAGCAGGAAGAGTATATGAAAGAGCAGATCCCCTGGACTCTCATTGATTTCTATGATAATCAGCCATGTATCAACCTCATCGAGGCCAAGATGGGCATCCTGGACCTGCTGGATGAAGAGTGCAAGGTATATCTTGACTTAATTCACTGAATTTTTAATGTAAAATTATATAAAAGATTTTACATTCACAGATTTGTTTTATGTTTTTTTTTTTTTTTAGGGGTAATCTATTAGACTGTGGCTGTCATAAGCTGTCAAATGCATATTTATCACACTCAACCCACGGCTCTGGTCAAGTTGTGATATAAACTAAAAGGTTTTAGCTATTTAAAAATAATAATACAAATTCAGTAGAACCAGTAATTTTGTGAAATACTATTACAATTTAAAATATATGTTTAATATGTTTTCAAATGTAATTTAAATGTAATTAGTCTTCAGTGTCACATGATCAGAAATCATTCTAATATGCTGATTTGGTGCTTGAGAAACATTTTTTATTATCAAAATTAAAAGCATTGAAAAGTTCAAAAGAATATTTGTTTAAAGTAGAATTTCTTTGTAGCAGTGTAAAAGTCTTTGTCACTTTTGATCAATTTTATGTATCCTTATGTTATGTATCCATGCAAAAAAAAAAAAAAAAGAATTCTTAAAAAAAATCATACTGACCCCAAACATTTTAATGGTCATGTACATTACTGTAAAATAGTGCTGTCAAACGGTAAAAAAAAGAAGAATTAATCGCACATTTTTTTCTGAAATGAATCGCAATTAATCACAATTAATCCCACCTAACATTTAAGTTTTTAAATATACTTTTATATTGCAATAATTTCACATTCAATCTTCAAATTAATGTAGAAACAACATAAAGACAGTACATTTTTAATATTTGTTTTATGGCATCTTTTTTTATGACTGAAGGAGAGTATCACTGATATACTACTGATGTCTCTATGAAATAGTTATAGTTAGTTAGCTATAGCCATTCAACATTACAGTGTAATTGAGAGCTATCAATTTGAACATTTATTAGACTTAAAAAAAAACTTATAATTTAAGTGAACTTAAAACAATCTTCACATAAATCCATTATAATAAATATCTTATTTAGCAACTTGTGCCTTTCAGAAAGTAGGAAACATACAGAAATTGAATACATTTATCAAACACTAAATTCTAAATTAAATATAGATGAAACCTTAAAGCTACAAAAGGTATTGATTTCCTCTTTTTTTCTTTTGTTCTTTGATGAACAGACATCACAGCAGCTGGGTTATTAGGTTATTTTGGCTGCTTTAAGAGCTGCCGCTGCTGAACATGACCTGGATCTGGCACGCATCCTATTTTCTCACAACTCTTTACCTTTTCTGGCCTACTTCAGGTTTGAAGTCTGTACTAATGAACTGATGAGTTGAATCGGGTGTGTTAGATGTTTTAAGAGCTGAACATGACACGCATCGTAGTTTCTCATAACTCTTTACCTTTTCTGACCCACTTCAGCTCACTTCAAGTCTCTGCTAGTGAGCTGATGTGTTGAATCGGGTGTGTTAGATGAGGGAGACAGTTCTGGGCTGCTCCAGGACAGTTTTGAAAACCACTGCATTTCATTCATGCATTCATGTTCTTGAATGTGACTCATATATGTGACCCTGGACCACAAAACCAGTCTTTAAGTGTCAATTTTTCAAAATTGAGATTTATACATCATCTGAACGCTGAATAAATAAGCTTTACATTGATGTATGTTTTGTTAGGATAGGACAATATTTGGTCAAGATACAACTAT